GGGTAAATAGGGAAGAATTATTTTGGGCTCAGTTGTGATTCTTGCTTTTCTTTCCTAGTTTACTTGTAAGGTTCAAGGAGGAGCTGCAGCTCGCGCCTCTCGCTGGGATGTTGTATGAACTCACTCTAAATTTGCTTCTGAATTAATAAATTTATTATAATTCATAAAAAAAGGGTGGGGTTTCGTATAAGAAAGCTGAAATCTGGACAGGGGGATGGTTCCTCTGGGGGGGGTGAGGGGAAAAGGTGTAGGAGGCGGAAGGGAGGGGAGAGTGTAGTTTTTCTCTGAGTGTTTGTGAATGGAGTTGAAATTGTTATCAACAGTGTTAGGAGTTTGGGGTCTGGGAGGAGATTGGTGGTCTGCATTTGCTCAAAAGTAGGAGGTCTGATGTGTTGCTTGTTCAGGAAACCAAATTAGAAATGGTAGAGGCTATGGTGGTCAGAAGTGTCTAGGGACAGGGATAAGTGAGATGGGTTTGTAAGCCAGCAAGAAGTGCAGGGGGTTGGTAACTCTTTGGGATCGCTTGAACTGTAAGCTTCTGTCCTCTCATATAGGGGAGTTCTCTATTTTTGTGATCCTGGAGTTGGAGGGGGGCAAGGATCAAAATTTTGCAACATGCCGGCCCCAATCAGCTGATATGTACTGTATCAGTGACCCACCAATATGCGAAATACAGGTAGTTTCAGGTTAAGACCTAGAGGGTAGCTAGGCTTTATAATGAACCCCCTAAACATGTTTGAAAAAAAAACTTCAAAAAAAAGTGTGTAATTTTAAAGTCCAATATGCCCTATCTGATGTATCGGACTGTATTGATATTTTAAACCTTGGAGGGGGGTACGATGTGTCAAATTACAAATGTCTATGGTCTGATAGATAGTGAAGCTAGGGCGAGGGTTTGGGATGATCTAGCAGAAGCAAGGGACTCCTTACCCATCCTTGGGTGATAGGGGGGATTTTAACATTGTTAAATTTCTGGAAGAGAGAAATTGAGGAGGTAGGAATTGATAAAAAAATGGAGGTAACAGGCCTGGAGATATGAGGCAGCTTTCTGAATTTGTGAGCCGTTTTGAGCTTATAGACCTGCCCCTGACAGAGGCACAATTCATGTGGACGAAATGACAAATAAACAGGTAAACTCAGTATTGGTGAAGTTAGACATATTTCTGGTCTCCCTAGGGTGGAAAGAACTTTTTCCGAATTTGAAACAGGTGGCTCTCCCCAGGTCTGTTTCAGATCACACTCCCATCCAGCTTTGTGTGGGGACCAGGTGAGCAGAAAGGCACCTTTTAAAATGGAAAACACTTGATTTGAGGAAGAGGATTTGAATTCATTTTTTAAAAGATAAGTGGTCTGGGATTCAGTTTGAAGGGACTAATTCTTTCATTCTTTGTGAAGAAGATAGGAGCTGTCAAGGAAACTTTGAAGTCTTGGAAAGTGGAGAAGCTGGGTAGTTCAGAACCAGAAAATAGAAAGTGCTTAGAGGCAATTAAGGAGGTGGATCTGGTTGAAAAAAGGGGTCTTCCAGGATTTTCATCAGAATGCTTCACTGGGGAGGAGCTTAAATGCTACCTTCATCTCTCTTATTCCGAAATTAGAAGGGGCCACAAACATTAAGGATTTCATGCCAACAAGTTTGCTGAATAGCTTTTACAAAATATTGGCAAAGTTGCTGACAGAGAGGTTGAAAAGGGTTCTCAGTAGTGTAGTGGCTGAGAACCAATTTTTGTGTGCGCCTGGGCATCAAATGTTGACAGTGTTTTGGTGGCCAATGAGCTGATTGGATCTAGAAAAAGGTATCAAATGTTGACAGTGCTTTTTTTAATGATTTTATTCAAGGTATTAGACTGAAAGTGGAGAAGAAGGATAAGATCAAATTCTGGAAAGATATCTGGTGTGAAAATTTTGCCTTGACGAACAGGTTTACTTCTTTGTATTTAATGGCAGGGAACAGAGAAGCATGAGTTATTGAATCCTATGAGCTCCTTGAAGGGGTACCCACCTGGAGTCCAACTTTTAGTAGAAGCTTGAATGTATGGGAGATAGAGGAGATGGCTTTGTTGTTCAATTTACTTGATAGTTATTCCCCAAGACCAGATCTAGAAGATTCAAGGACCTGTAAGTGGGTGGGTTCTGGAACTTTCACGGTTAAGTCCCTATATAGGCAGCCTGATGCATAACCACAATGCTGCGTTCCCTCGTAAAGAAGTCTGGCTCCCCGACATCCCTTCCAAGGTGACCTTCTTACTGTGGCTGGTGGTGCTGGACAGATGTTTAAGAAATACTCTGTTGAGAAGAAGCTTGGCAGTTCAATCAGATATATGTGTTTTATGTGGCAGTAGTAAAGAAACTTCAAACCACTTATTTTTGCATTGCTCTGAGGTGTTTAAGATTTTCTCTTATTTTTGTAGCCTGCTGAGTATCTCTTGGTGTGTGCCAGAGAATTTATAAGGTCATTTATTCTCTTGGAAAGTGAAAGGCTTGAATGAGAAGGGTAGAAAATTGTGGAGCACTATTCCAGCTGCAGTGTCTTGGTGTACCTGGAGGGAGAGGAATCAGGGAATATTCCATCATAGGAGCAGCTCCTTGGAGGATCTAATCAGGAAGATTCTGGGCTTTACCCATTCCTGGTTGGCTGCAACAGAACAATTCAAAGGAGTTGCCCATTAAAGTTATTTGGACCTTGCCATTTTGTTTTTGAAAGGCTGGCAGGGCAGGAGCGATCAAAATTATATCTTGTAAAGATTTGATGTACATGGCCTTTTTTGAATGAGTACAATCAATACTTTACCTTTTCTTAAAAAATGTCTTGCCAAGTTTAATAAGATTTTAGATTCTTTTATAGTATAGTTTGTTAAAACATACTGTTTTACATATTTATCCGGTATAGCCCTGAAACCAGGGGCATCTACTTCAGAGTTCAGACAACTGGCTACCTTTCTTCACAAGAAAGAGTATCCAGAGAATGGTTCTTTCCAATTTCAGAAAAAAGTAGTAGTAGTTTACTGCACTCTCAAAAAGAGTACTCACTTAGACATGTGGCCGTCTATAAAAAAACTACCCACTTCAAATGATGTGGACCCATACTAACCTTTCTATTCAGTTTACTAATTCAAATAAAAGTCTTGTCGTAAAGACTTTCAATGGTGTGGGCCAATTCCGTCAGATGAAATAGGTCATTAATTACAAATTAAGCCTAATTTAATTTCCTAAATTAAATAATATATCCAAATCTGTAGTGAATCTCAAACAAAATAATAGGCATAATTGCCCCTTGATATACGGGGTGGTCATTACTTAGTCATCTTAAAGAAAGTGAAGTCATGTAATTCAATTCTACTGTATTATTTCTATTACCATCACCACCATCCATGCTGTTATTATCACTTATTTGGGGGGATTCTTCAAAAAACCATTTCATAATTATTATTGAATAAATCTTGTTTTGGACCACTTTACATTCAAGGTTCTGCAGTTTTCCAGCCTTTTATCTTTTACTGTAGAGTGTCTATTAACCTTGTAGTTTATTTGTTAGATTGTGTGTATGCATGAATCAGTTCACTAGTGGGTTAAAAGAACTGCTAATGGGTTTGTCGATTCTTTGGCAAAATAAGGGGTGGGGAGAAATCAGTTGCTTTAGGCTTAATTGTAATATTTTTTAATTTATGGGGGAATTTAAGAGTTTTTATCTCTCCTTGTATTTTATCTTAATCTTTTAATGAATTTTGCAGTTATTGATAAAAAAATGAATCAGTTCACTAGTGTTGATGTGATCACGTAGAAGATGGAGCAATCTGGGATTTCACCTTTACTGAATTATAACCATTGCTACCATCATTATCATCACCGTTCGCTTTTGCTGTTTATTTGAATGCTGTGTTATCTTAAATAACCATTAAGTATTAATAACTCTAGTAGTAAGTCAGTTAAATTTGCAATGTTCTATAGTTGAACTTCCAATTTGACATGGCTAAACAATATGCAAACACCATGCTTATAGTTATCCATAGAATGATAGAAATTGCGAACTACTTTTTTCTAATAAGTTACACCAATGTGTATCAGGTTCCACCTGGTGAATATCGTTTATCTGCATTAGCAACCCAACCTGAGAATGCTCCTGAACTATTGTTTTTGCCATCGTATGTTGATGTCACAGTGAATAGTCCATTATTGAATGTTGAATTCTCCCAGGTAAGTTTTGTCACCATCCAAGAAAGTCTTGATGTTACTTTTATTTGATTATTATTCCAGTTCATCACGTTTTTACCTTGTATTTAGTACTATCTGCAGAGTTTTGTGCAGAGTGATTGTATAAAGAAATATTTTAGAAATCAGTAGACTTGTATTTAGGTTAGGGTTCTGGTTGCCAGGTTAGGAGCATACAAGTTGTTAGAAAGCCTAGCAATGTATAATAACTCTACTTCTTCAGTTAGTCATTTAATTTTATGTTATATTGGATTATGTAATCATAGCCTGGCCGAGCCTAGTAGGGTGGACCTTATTTCACAGGTACAGCCAAGTCATTAAACATTCATCAAGCATAAATTTTATATATCCATAAGAGTTTGGTTCTTGTGTGGGTGTTTAGTTATAGCATAACCACACTGAAGATACCTGTAATAGTTCTTTGTTTGCTTATATTCAAATGGATTGTTGTTCATTTACATGTCAGAAAAACACTTTTGTTTTTGATAAGTAAAATGAAACTTTATTGATTTTAGTACAAGAATGTTGAATATAATACAGGGTGTATATATTTGGTAGGCCAACCCTGCTATCTAACCCAAAATATTATTTGCATGCCAGAAATACACATTTCTAGAAGTGAAAAATACTGAAGTCCTCGTATTTTTCTTTTGAAATGCAGGCACAAGTTGATATACATGGAACTGTACACTGCAAGGAGAAATGTGGTGAATCTGTTGTCATTTCACTTAAAAGATCAACTGGAAAAGGTGTAGATGAGAAAAGGACAGTTAGCTTGACTAATGAGAATAATGTATTTATGTTTCCAAAAGTTTTCCCTGGCAAATACAGGCTAGAGGTAGAACATGCTTCTCTGAACTTAAACTTTCCTTATTATTCCTCTAACTTGCGTTTTGAAGAGTTATTATCATTACTCATTAAGATGGATGCCAAAATACCTAATTACCTACTTACCTACCCATAGCTTCTATCCTTTCATACTTTAGCATGTGCAAATTCAATATGGTTGTATTTGCTCTTTCCAGTTGCAATTTCCTTATTTTTTCCACAGAGTGAATCTGAAAATGGATTGAACTTTCTTTTGGACTGCTCACTGTAAAGTTATTCTTTGTGTTGCTTCAGCAATGAAAAACTTACTCAATTTGGGATTATCCTCCCAGTGCAGTGACTGTCCATTCATACCCACTCCAAGAAACGCTAAATTCTTTATTCTATCTTATTCACAATAAATTAATATACTTCCCCTGGTCAAATTTCCAACTGCAAGTTTTGATTAATCTCTCATATAGGTGAAGCATGTATCTTCACTTGACATGTCTGAGGAGGACCAATGGTGCTGGGAGCAAAGTTCTATTGATGTGGCTGTAGGAACTGAGGGTGTAAAAGGGATTGTCTTTACTCAGAAAGGTTACTGGATTGATATAATTTCTACACATGATGTTGATGCTTACATACATCAACCTAACAACTCACCTCTGAATTTAAAGATTAAGGTGATTTTCTTTCTTTGACTGAAAATAAGCTCTCCTGGCTTTTGATCTGTGTAATAATAATGAAGGGCTTTACCATCCTGAGCTTATTATTTGTGCTGCAGAAAGGATCCCAAAAGATATGTGTAGAATCTGCTGGACAACATGAGCTTCACTTTGTTGATTCTTGCATCTATTTTGGGGGCTCCTCAGTGAAGTTTCATACAATGGATCCATCGGTATAATGCTTATCTGTTACATATGTGTATGTATGTATGATCTATATTGTATTTTTCTGTTTCCCATACCTTTTCTGAATTGTTGCTGCAGCCTGTCTATCTGAAAGGAGAGAAGTACCTTCTTCGAGGTCAAATCCATGTTGGTTCCAGCTTACACCACAGTATAAATGATTTACCCAAGGATATCATTGTTGATGTACTGGATAACAACAACACAGTTATTGAGGCTACTAGTACCAGACTTGTCTCTAATGGAAACGATGAAGGAGACCTTGCTGTATATGATTACTCGATATGGGCCAATCTTGGAGAAAAGCTCACCTTTTTTCCTCGGGATTCAAGGTACTTTAATTTGTTGATATTATGCTTGAAAACTCTGTAACTTTTGGTTGAAGTGTTCAATTTTTTCAGTATTTCACCACAGTCAGAAAGAAAAGAGATACAAAAATCTTCCAACAGAGAAAGGAAGAAAGGCAACCAAGCCCCCAGAGTATGACCAATAAACTATATTACAGAATTGAAACAACTAGAACACTTTGTATTGCTGAATATAAATAAGCTATTGATCCCCCACCCCAACCCTGGGATTAGCGGATCTTAGGATCCAACTGAATTAGATGTTTGGACTGGTAATTGAAGACCTGGGGTCTCTCAACCTGTCTAAATTTCCAGTTTCTCTATTGGACATTGCTCATCCATTGACAGTCTTGTCCACTGCAATTCTTTCAATCCCAGTAGGAACTAAGAATCTGTAGCCTTTTCAATCCCGGGATTCATTCTCACTCACAGCCTTAAGTAAGCTATTGCTATCTCACTTCCACCATCTCTGCAAACACATCCAAATTCCAAATCTGGAAGATAAATATTTGGTCTTTGTGTAGAAACCAAAACGGACCACTGGTCCAGCAATTCTTGTTTAATATTAGTTAGCACTCATGGGCACATGTTCCATACACTAGAACCTTTGTGATAAGCTACATTACCCAGATATGACAAGGGCACATCTAGACAAGATTTCATATACAGAATTTACACTAAAAATTGAAGTAGCTGACACTATACAGCATCCTTATATATGCATCTGGGTATCTTAGAGAATAGGTAGTAGTCAGGTGCCATTCCCAAACAGTTGGTTCCATGTGGCTACCCTTCACCCATTTTTGTTGGCCAGGTTATTGAATTGACTGAAAAAATGTTAGGCATGTTAAGGAAATTATTCAAGCTATTAAGTGATGTCCTGGTGTACTGAAAGAGCACAACTGATGTATGTATATTGGGTTGCTTATTCATCGAGTTCTCTCTATGGGTATTAATTTAAGGTTCCTTTACCTGGTTGGTTTATATGTTTGACTTTTGAATGTTTCTTCAAGGTTCCTTGGCAGAATTTATTCATTCTCTATTTTGGCAATTTGGCCTACCTTTTCTAGCAAAGTTTGGATCTCTATTTCACCTCCTAAATGTGTAATCCAAAGAGAATTCTGAGGAAACAAATGGATTGAGAGGTTATGGAGCACTTTTTGAGGATAGAATGGAATTTCTCTGTTATGTCTCCTATTTTATTGCCTTGTATGGGGCTTGCCCCTTTCTCAATTTTCAGCTTATACAAGACATTATTATTGGAGGTGCAAGGCAGGTACCCAATTTATGCTGATAAAAAAAAGTGCAGCTACCCAATTTAAAGAGTTTACACTTCATTGTGCCTGGGTTTTTGGCCAGGTGCATTGAAATTTAAGCAATTTCCCAACCTGAGCCCACCCAAGTTGCACCCCTAATTATCATTTGTGTGAAGCTTCAGAGGATGGGTTCTTATTTATCTTGGGCCTCCCCTTGGCTGTAACATGGAGATTGGGTTTTGGTACATGGTATTCAAGTAGGATAAGAGACTGGATATGTGGAAAAGAAATTATATGGCTGCCTCCCTCTGATAGCTCTTAATGTTTACATATGGCTCATGAATTATCCTGATAAAAAAAATCCCATCATCCACTCTTAAACAGCTTACAAGGAGAGACAAAAATTGGCTAATGGACTGTCCTTCTGGTCCTGGGCCTGGGGCCTATCAGTTTGAGTTGGAATGGATGGGACCCCAATCTATGCCATCCCTTTCCTCCTTAAGCCCATCTAATCCATGGTCAATTTGAATTCTTCCTTATCTTTTTTTTACAGTAAAATAATAATTTCATTAAAGGAGAAAAAGAAAAAGTACAAATCCCAAGTGATAAGATATCATTGAGATGAGTGGAAAAGCATAAATTGAGGAAGTTCCAGTTCTCTACTTAGATAAGCTCAAGGAAGTGTTGCTCGGGGATCAGGAAGAAGATGATTCCGATGTTTCATCAGAGCCTTACAGAACGGAATTAGAAGCAAATCTATCCGGTAGCTACAGAATTAAAGAGTTGTATTTGGAAGATTCAGTTAGTACCAGAAGCAAGATGACTAAGCCTCTTTCTCTGACTGATAAGGCAGGAGCCGGTTCCCAAAATCCCAGCCCTTCTCTGGACCTCCAGGCCCAAGTTTCAGGTACTATCTCTCCCACCCCCTCGTAATTCTGTTGTATTCTCTCCTTCCTTTGAATGTTTTCCTTGTCATTTTCCTTCTGGTTGCCCCCCTAATCTCGGCACAGGTTCTGGCTCTCCTGTTACTATTCCTTCCATACCTACCTCGACTCCTCTCTTGGAAGCCCAGAGTCAGGAGACTGATAACACCTTGATTAAGAATGGATCAGAATTGGATACAGATAAGGTAGTAGAGGTTTTGGGAATCTTGATGGTAGATAAGAAAGGAAAAAAATGGAGTACTGAGAAGTTCTTGGGAGAGGAAGACAATTCTCTAAAACCTAAATCGGTTAGAGAATTGAAGAAGCTCCAAAGTGATTTGAAATGAAGAACAGTTTTCAGAGTAAGGCTGGTAGAAAGAAGGTAGTGGGGATTTCTCTAACAGATGAATGATGAGGATCATATCTTGGAATGTGCGAGGGCTAGGGGAGACAAGGTTCAAAGTATCAACACAGGTGCTTTTTTTATGTGTTATTTTTTTTTTTTCAAAACCGGTTCAGAGGGGTCAGTTTAAGTCCCGGCTACCCTCTTAACCATGGTCTGACCCAATACAACCCCTGTAGGGGCGTGCTGAGAAGCCATTGGCATGATACGTATCGGCCGATACCAAAAGAAGCCTAGTGAAAGACACCCTTAAGAAATTAAACCCGGATATAATAGTTCTGCAAGAAACCAAAAAGAGACAGTTGATAGAAGATTGATCAAGGCTATACGGAATGTTAATGGTAAACGTTGGTCCTCAATTGCTTCCACTAGGGCCTCAGGTGGGCTTATGATTGTTTGGGATGAGAATCAAGTTTCTGGACAGGAAGTTGACAGAGGAAACTACTCTCTTTCTATTCTTTTCACCAATAAGTATGATGATTTCACCTGGATATTCACTGGTGTTTATCCTCCTAACTCCCCTAGATTGAGAGAGAACTTGTGGGATGAACTCGAAAGTGTAGGAGCTCATTGTCAGCTCCCCTGGTGCGTGGGAGATGATTTCAATGTCACCAGATTTGTCCTAGAGAAATCTAATGGAGGTTGACTTACCTCAAGTATGTGAAGGTTTTCCCGTTTTATCAGGGACCTTTCTTTAGTTGATCCCCCCTATCTAATACTAGATTTACTTGGTCAAACTTGCAAGCTGAATCAATCTGCAGTAGACTGGATAGATTTCTTTACTCTTCTGATTGGGAAAATCACTTTCCTAAGACGCTTCAGACAACTGGACATGGATATACCTCAGACCATTGGTCATTATTATTATTATTATTAATAATTTTTTTTTTATCAATAACACTTTCATTAACTCATCAAAAGAAGATTTACAATAGGAAGACAAACACGCTTATCTTCCAAGAGCAACAAAGGACCTCAAGAAAAGAAAAAAATAAAGAAAACACACTATAGTTACAGCTTAGTCCAAAAAAGTGAATCCCTTTCTGCCCCTTGTTTAGCTAAACCGGCCGCTAGGGAATTAGCCGATCTTTTAACCCAAAGTATCTTAACTTCCATC